TCCTTTTCCTTTCAGACCTACATCTGTCAGGCTGCTTAGCCAGACATTTGGAGAAATCCTGTCTCAGTGAAGATATTCAAGGAAACCTGATTCACATACTCCATTTTTTTTCATTCTACAAGCCTGGTTGCTCTAACACATCAGGCATAAAAAGTTAGACCTAGGAACATGCAGAAATTAAAATCAGATACTGGGTAATGATTTGGGCTAAAAATTATTCCTATTATAAAGGCATTCTTCTGAGAGTCTTTTGAAAACTAAGCACTAATGATAAGAGAGTTTACTGTTTGGATTTCCTACCCTAAATGTCTACTTTAATATTAATAATTTGACCATAGGTTATTCTGAAGATATTTATATAACAAACTAAAGAAATATAGTTGATCATTACAATATTCATTTCAGAAGTGGACTTAAAATTTAGGGGAAGTTAAAATTAAGTTTTCACTTTTTTAGACTTACATATACATCACTTTTTACATGGAAAAATGTAACATTTAAAAAATAATAAATAAATTATTTTAATAATTAAAAAAACGATAAATATGTAGCTATTTAGCCAAAACAAACATAACACTAATTAAGGAAGAAAATATAAACAGCAGTTTCCTTTCTTAGGTATCTTGGCTGTTGGTATAATTGTTTATATTACACCAAATTAATACTTTTTATTTTAAAAACTAAAATAATAAATAGGAAAAATAAGACTATCCTCAGGAGGAATAACATGGGGAGAAATGCCAGATATAGGTGACGGGGGGATGCAGCCAGCAAACCACCTTGCCATGTGTGTACCTATGTAACAAGCCTGCATGATCTACATACATACCTCAGAACCTAAAGTACAATAAAAATAAATAAATAAACATTTTAAAAAGACTATCCTCGGAGTTCTATCCAGAACATAAAAGACTCTGCCAGGTGAAAACAGCACAAACTAGTTTTACAAATATATAAATTTAAGTTTATTCTTTTTTCATAAAGTGTGCATGTACACACACACACACACATGCACACACACATATCCTCACCTAGAGTTCATAATATACTACAGCATCAATCATGGCAATAAAATATAGCACTTTTGTAGACTTATAAAACCAGAAGGTTTTAATAAATGGTTAAAAACTCCTTTGTTTCTTATTTATAAATGTTAATAACTATACCTACCTCCTAAAGTAGGTTGTGTTAAAGTTGTGTTCATTACAAGAAATACATGTGAAAGATCTGGCACATAATAAACAGCAGCCATTATTATTTTAAAGCATGCATTTAAAAATTATAAATAAAGATTGTAAACAAATGACCTATTTCAGGAGATTTTCCCTAATTACTGTTTTAATAACTAACAGTATTGGCAATTATCACAAAACACCTTGTTAGCTTTATTCCACTTCCTAGCAAAACCTTATTAAGACTTGCTGAAAAGGGTTCATATTACTAGAATTTCATTATCATCTAGACAAAAATAATATAATACATTTATTAGCCCTGTAAACAGTAAATACACAAATATTTTAAACCAATTACATTCACACATTTTAGGTTACATCATTCTTAACTTTAAAATTTGTCTATAAAAATGAGTAATCTAATCAAAGCATTTCTTATTCATGACTATTAGGTATAATATTTTATCTCATTTTTAACAGTTTTGTGTAAAATCACATTATAAGCAAAGAAAGTAAATATTTGAAATGTACATGTGATTTACTGAAATGAAAAATTTTATATTAATATATTATCAATACATTAACTAAAATCTGTTAAAACTAATCTCAACATCACCTATATAGTACTCCTGCCAAAAATGTTTAATGAGAATGTAACCATGAGAGAAAAAAGAACATGTTAATTGAAATTGAAGGACAGCCTAGAAAACAACTGGCCTAGACTCTTCTATGAAATAAATGTCATGACAGACAGAAATGAATAAGCAGGTGTTCCAGATTAGAGAAGACTAAAGAGACTTGATAACTAAATGCAAGAGAAGATCTGTGATTAGATCCTGACTCATAGGAGAAAATGAACCATATATATAAAATATTACTGGGACAATTAGGAGAATTTGAAAATAGACTGTATATTACACAATAATAATGGATTTGTGTTCAATTAAATTAAGTGTAAAAATTGGATTGTTATTATGTAGAATGTCCTTGTTCTTGACATATACGCACAGAAGTATTAACATGTCTGCAACTAACTTTAAAAATGGATACACCTGCAATCCCAGAGCTTTGGGAGGCCAAGGTGGGCAGATCACCTGAGGTCAGGAGTTTGAGACCAGCCTGGCCAATATGGTGAAACCCCATCTCTACTAAAAATACAAAAAATTAGCCAGATGTGATGGTGTACACCTGTAGTTCCAACTATGCAAGAGGCTGAAGCAAGAGAATCACTTGAACCCAGCAGGTAGAGGTTGTGGTGAGCTGAGATTGCCATGCTGCACTCCAGCCTGGGCAACAGAGTGAGACTCCATTTCAAAAAAAAAAAAAAAAAATGGACCAGCCAAAGAAAAAACTATAAATATACAGAAAGAAGCAATTATGGCAAAATGGTAACAATTTTTGAATCTATGTAAGTAGTACATGGTGGGTTGTTCATCGTACTATACTTTCAACCGTTCTGTAAGTTTAAAAATATAACATTGGGAGTTAGAAATCTAAACTACATAATTTTAAAAGTATACTGTATCTAACAATAAGTGAGTGTCCCTTCCTGCCTTCTCACCCATGCCCTCTACCCGTATGCACTGTAGAGGTGCCAGTTGTCTATTGGCAAAATTGCCCTGTCATTGCTCTAGGTCTCCATTGTCATGCAGAAACCACTCACACAGTAAATCCACTGTAACCATTGACACAGTCACTGTCATAAGATGGCATGCCTTCTCAAGTGCACATGATTTATTTAGTTCAGACCATCTGCATGCATACTTCTTTGTATCTGAGTCTTCAAACCAGAATTTGTATGTTATTTTAATTAAAATAAAAATTATATAAAGCTCATGAGGAGGGACTTTATTTAAAATAAAAATTCTCTGTTGCTCAGTTTTCTACCTGTAATTAAGAGAACACTACCTGCCTCACAGGATTGCTATCAGGATTCAGTGAAAAAATATTATGAAAACATTGAGCCCAGAATCTGGCATTCAGTAAATTTATTGATATTCAGTAAATTTTAGCAATTATTATTACCCTAACTTTAATTTAAGAAGAACATTCTAATTTGTTTTCTGTGAGGAAAATAGCCAGGTACTATATGTAAGAATATATGATTAAGCTCAAATTTGTCATTTCTTGTGATAAAAAGTGTGTAAAACCTTATAAAATGTTCTACTCTGGGCAAAATAACCTCTATTATAGATGTAACCTGGTCAACAGAAGGCTAGAATTATGGAAATTCACAGATAATATTAAAGTATTAAACGCATTATAGCTAAAGTCTTTAATCCTTAGAGAATCTATCTTAGAGAAGCTTTCCTATAGCCTATAGGGGTAGTATGCAATGATTCTTTTTCCTTTTTCTGTCTCTAGCACCAGTAGGTGCAAATCAATAAATGTTTTCAGACTGAAGTAAAGATGGAAGAACAAAAAAAGTTTGTAAGCTTATGGAAATGATCATGGGGAAAGGAAAAATTGATAATGTAGGTGTCTTATTTCTTTTTTTGTACTGCTATCACATAATACCTAAGACTGGGTAATTTATAGTAAACAGGATTCATTGGCTCACAGTTCTGGAGGCTTGGAAGTCCAATATCAAGGTACCAGCAACTAGCAAGGGCCTTCTTGCATCATCGTCCTATGGTGGAAGATGGAAAGGGTGTGAGAAAGAACAAGATGGATCCAAATACACCCTTTAAAATTTTTATTTTATTTCAAAATTTTGGGGGGTGTAGGTAGTTGTTGGTTACATGGATAAATTATTTAGTGGTGATTTCTGAGACTTTGGCTCACCCATCACCTGAGCAGTATACACTGTGCCTGATATGTGGTGTTTTATCTAACCCCCTTTTACCCTTTCCCCCAAGTCCCCAAAGTCCATTATATCATTCTTATACCTCTGTATCCTCATTGCTTAGCTCCCACGTAAAGTGAGAACATATGATATTTGGCTTTCCATTCATGAGTTACTTCACTCAGAATAAGGGCCTCTAACTCCATCCAAGTTGCTGCAAATGCCATCATTTTATTCCATTTTATGGCTGATTAGTATTTCATGGTTTATATACACTACATTTTCTTTATCCACTCATTAGTTGATGGCTATTTAGGTTGGTTCCATATTTTTGCAATTGCAAACTATGCTGCTATAAACATTCGTGTGCATGTGTCTTTTTCCTATGACTTCTTTTCCTCTGAATAGATACTCAGCAGTGATCTTCCTCCATCAAATGGTAGTTCTACTTTTAGTTCTTTAAGGAATCTCCATACTGTTTTCCGTAGTGGTTGTACTAGTTTACATTCCCACCAGCAGTGTAAAAGTGTTCTCTTTATACCATATCCATGTCAACATCCATTATTTTTTGATCTTTTAAATTATAGCCATTCTTGCATGAGTAAGATGGTATCTCATTGTAGTTTTGATTTGTATTTCCCTGATGACTAGTGATGTTGAGGATTTTTTCATATGTTTGTTGGCTGTTTGTATATCTTCTTTTGAGAACTGTCTGTGCATGTCCTTTGCGCACTTTTTGATGACGTTATTTGTTTTTTCTTGCTGATTTCTTTGAGTTTCTTATATATTCTGGATAATAGTCTTTTGTCAGATGCATAGTTTGCAAATATTTTCTCCCACTCTGTGGGTTGTTTATTCTGCTGATAATTTATTTTGTTGTGCAGAAGTTTTTAATTTCATTACATCCCACTTATTTTGTTGTTGTTGTTGTTGTTGTTGCATTTGCTTTTGAATTCTTAGTCATGAATTCTTTGCCTAAGCCAATGTCTAGAAGAATTTTTCTGATGTTATCTTCTAGAATTTTTTTTCATTGTGAAAAAGTCTTTAAGAAAAAAATTTAGTTAACAAAAAATTTAACAAGTTTCACTTAGCAAAATACACCCAAAAGGAAATCACAGTACAAAGAAAGTTTTAAGTCAAGGCCTCACCAATTCCTACAGTATTAGTATTGTGTCTCAATTCTCAAAACTAACTTTTAAAAAGCTTAAACTTAACCTAAAGGATTTTAAATGAAAATATAAACTAGAATGAACAAATGAGAAATATTTCTTTGAATCAGGGAGCTAGCACCTTTGAGTTTTCCAAAAAAGCACATCTCCCCAGTGTGTTCAGTGATGTGGTGTAAAAGGTCCACATTTAACATACTTAAACTACTTAAACTCAGATAACATCACTCTGAAGTATACTACCAAAATGTTAATTAAGAAAAGCTGAAAATAGTTTTAGTTTACTTATTATCACATGCTAGAAGAAAATTTGGCATGAGAAAGACTGAAGAGGTAATTTTTTCAATCCAGATTTCACAAACTCATGGTGCAAAATGGGTCCCACAACTTCCTCTATTATAGCTGCTCTTAACTGCTTGTTGGCTGCCTGTGTAAAATTTTATTGAAATAACTCAAATGTTCCTAACAAAATTAGTCATATCCACCCATGCTGTTCTGCCCATTGTAGCTGGCCCCATAACAGCTGCTCACTTACTGGCTCTCCAGGCCACTGTAAGTGGCTTGGGCGGCAGACACCCCCATGCCTTGCATCACCTGGCTGCTATATGCCCGATTGCTGGCCCCTGTTGTCGAATTCAAGAAGAGTTCTATGTATCTGTGTTGCATGTTGGCCCTGTCTTTGGACATGGCTGCAACAGCTTCTTCATGAGTAGCAAACTCAACATCTTCTTCGCCCGTCACTCTTCCATCTGGACCTATCTCAATATGGACTCTCACAGGATTGAGAGGAGAGAAGAAGTTGTAAATGTCGTTCTCGGTCGCTTTGTACAGCAGACCCCTCATGTGGACACAGTGGCCTGTGGTGCTCTGCACTGTGAACTCACTACCGCCGTATCTGTGGTCATACATTCCGGAGAGACAGTAGTTGAGGTCTCTCCCGAACAGATCTGTGGTAAAGCCATAACCATCGCTGAGGCCACTGTACTCCTCATAGCCCCCATAGCCGGCGCTGTAGGCACCGGGCCGCATCCTCCCCAGGCCTGCCTGCTTCACAATGCCAATATAACTCCTGGCGGTCCCGGGCCTGCCATAGGGCCCTGGCCGCTGCACGGACACGAAATTCAGAGGGGGATCTGAGTATGACCTAACTTCCTCCTGGCTGCTCTTAAAACACCTAGATGTACTTGTGCCCTATCCTCTCCTTGCGCTTCCCTAGAGCTTTATCAGCTAACTCCTGGGAGGCAAACTGCACAAATGCTTCCCTGTAATCTTGCCCTCGTGGTCCACAGGCAATGTGATCCCGTTTGGCACGATTTCCAACCCTGAGAAGAACCGAACAATTTCTTCCTTTGTGCACCCAAATGGGAGTCCTCGAAGCCGTCGTTGGCGCTGTCGGCACTGTTGGGACCACTGTGCTTCAACACCCAATCCACCTCGGTTCTGTGGGACTTGAACACCTCCATGTACCAGTGGCCCATGCTTTCCCTTTTTTCAAAGCCAGTTTTACATCATCTTCTGATCCAAGTTCAACAAAAGCCTCACTACTCTGCCTGCCCTCTCTAGTGTAGATGCGGCCCCATCGTGAATCGTGCAGAGAGGAAGTTCTGCACGTCCTCAACAGAGCAGGACCAGGGAAGGCCACGGAGCTTGACCACAAAGCCCTCACCTCCCTCAGGGCCAGCATCATGGACACTTGACAGGATGGGTGTCAGGTGATCTTGGGTGCGGCTTTTCTTGTGGCACGGAGGCAAGCGGGACTGGTTTCTGTTGCTATCAGGCAAGCGCTGCTGGCAACTAAGAGCCCCAAAATTCCACCGAAGCTCAACCACGCAGAGGGCTCTGGGGAAAGTCCAGGTGCATCTTTTTGTTCTCAACCTCGGCCTCCGAGTCTCTATGTTCCCGCTCTCACATCAGGAACCCGGGTAGTCCCTCGGAGCATCTAGAGGAGGGTGGAATGCGGGGAACTTGGCAGTTGTAGCTGAAGCAGTTGAGGCTTGTTGACCATCACCATGGAAACCCTCAACTGCGAGCACGGGGCGAATCCTCAGCGCCTGCCAGTCGAGTGCACGCGGCTTTGCCCGAAGCCCTCCTGCTCCCGGCGTGCCAGGCCTGGCTCAGCCCTTCGCCCGGGACACCTGGAAACAGAAACTCAAGGAGCCCGCATCACCACCCCGCTGCTACCTGCAGGCGTGACTGCCTATCTTCTAGGATTTTTATGGTTTCAGATCTTAGATTTAAGTTTTTGGTCCATCTTGAATTAATTTTTGTATAAGGTGGAAGATGAGGATTCAGTTTCATTCTTCTGCATATAGCTTTCCAGTTATCCCAGTACCATTTGTTAAAAAAGGGTGCTCTTTCCCCACTTTATGTTTTTCTATGCTTTGTGAAAGATCAATTGGATGTAAGTATTTGACTTTATTTCTGGGTTTTCTATTCTGTTCCATTAGTCTATATGCCTATTTTTATACCAGTATCATGTTGTTTTGGTAACTACATATCTCCAGATTTGTTCTTTTTGCTTAGTCTTGCTTTGCCTATGTGGGCTCTTTACTTGTTCCTTATAAATTGTAGGATTGTTTTTTTCTTTTTCTGTGAAGAATGGTGGTGTATTTTGATGGGAATTGCATTGAATTTGTAGATTGCTTTTGGGAGTATGATCATATTCACAATATTCATTCAACCCATCCATGAACATGGGATGTGTTTCTGTTTGTTTGGGTCATCTATGATTTCTCTCAGCAGTTTTGCAGTTATTCTTGTAGAGATATTTCACTTCACCAGTTAAGTATATTACTAAGTATTTTTTTGGCAACTATTATAAAAGGGATTGAGTTCTTGATTTGATTCTCAGTTTGGTCATTGTTGGTATGTAGCAGAGCAACTGATTTTTGTACATTGATTTTGTAACCTGAAACTTTACTGAATTCATTTATCAGATCTGAGAGTTTTTGGATGAGTCTTGAAGGTCTTTATGATCATATCATTGGTGAACAGCAACAGTTTGACTTCCTCTTTTCCAATTTGGATGCCCTTGATTTCTTTCTCTTGTCTGATTGCTCTGGCTAGGACACCCAATACTATGTTGAATATAAGTGGTGAAAGTGGTCATCCTTGTCTTGTTCCAGTTCTCAGGGGAATGCTTTCAACTTTTCCCCATTCAGTATAATGTTGGCTGTTCTCATGATAGGAAGTTCTCATGAGATCTGGTTGTTTGGTAAGTGTGTGGTGCTTTCCTCTTCTCTCTCTGTCTCTTGCTTCACCGTGGGAAGATGTGCCTTGCTTCCCCTTCACCTTTCACCATGACTGTAAGTTTCTTGAGGCTTCTCCAGCCATGGAACTGTGAATCAATTAAACCTCTTTTCTTCACAAATTACCCAGTCTCAGGTAGTTCTCAGTAACAGTGTGAAAACAGACTAACACACTCTGTTTACCAAGTGTTTTTCATTTCCTTAAAGTATAGCCCTGTCAAATGACCAATAAAAAATAGCTGTCGTTTGGTAATAAAAACATTGCTTTCATCAGTGTTCAAGATGTGTATCCATAATCCAGAAGAACTGAACTGCATATGGCTCTGCTCTGCTGCCCCAATTAAACCACCATATTCATTCATTTCCAATAAGTATTTATTTATTTATTTTGAGCAGAGTCTCTGTGTGTCACCCAGGCTAGAGTACAGTAGCACGATTTCAGCCCAGTGTAACTTCTCCCTCCCAAGTTCAAGTGATTCTCTTGCCGTAGCCTCCTGAGTACCTGGGACTACAGGCACATACCACCACACACTGCTAATTTTTGTATTTTTAGTAGAGTCAAGGTTTTGTCATGTTGCCCAGGCTGGTCTCAAACTCCTGGCCTCAAGCAATCTGCCTGCCTCGGCCTCCCAAAGTGCTGGGATTACAGGCGTAAACCACTACACCTGGCCTCATTTTCAATAAGTATTCACCGTCTACTATGTTGCATCAATCACAATGGTGTTTTTACCCTAGGTATATTTACCTGAGAGTCATGTTAGATCATGAAGTTTTCGGGCTTTTTCTCTTTTCAAAAATATAATTTCTGCGCTGTGTATGGTGGCTCACACCTGTAATCCCAGCACTTTGGGAGGCCAAGGTTGGTGGATTACCTGAGGTCAGGAGTTCAAGAATAGCTTGGCCAACATAGTGAAACCCCATCTATACTAAAAATACAAAAATTAGTGCAGCGTAGTGGCAGGTGCCTGTAGTCCCAGCTGCTGGGGAGGCTGAGGCAGGAGTATCGCTTGAACCCAGGAGGCAAAGGTTGCAGTGAGCAGAGATCACAACACAACACTCCAGCCCAAGCAATGAGTGAGACTCTGCCTCAAAAAAAAAAAAAAAGTATATATACACGTATATATATATGTAACTTCTTACAGTTATGTTTTGATAACACTACTGTGTAATGATAAATGTAATGCACATAAAGCCAATTTTGAAGAAAAAAAGCAGATAGTATACTTCAGTACATTTCTCATTAACATTTAACTCTCAACAATCACTGCTCAATCTAACCTTCATTTGCCCAGAATTAGAATGCTCCTTTTTAACTCTATCCTCCTAATTTAAATTTTTACACTATTTATGTGCTCTTGGTTTTGCTATCATTTACCTAAAGAATTCAAAAACTCTAAAATAAATGAGGACTAAGTCTGATAACTTTCAATTAACTCACCTTTCAGTTCTTAAAAATTATATTTTAAGTGATTGAAAAGTTTCTCAGATCTATACAGATTCACACACATAGACATATACGTATACATATACATACATAATTAGCAAAACAAAAAATTATAATTTAGATTGAGCTTATTTTCTATTATAAAGTGTGGTAGGAAGAATTTTATATTCTATTACAAATGTTTAAGGTTAAATTTTTTCTGCCATTAACACAGATGGAATGTTTTTTGTTTTTGAGGGAAAAGGAGATTAAAATCTTTGCTGTTTTCTAATTGCTTAACTGAAAAAAAAAAAAAAAACTCAAGAGAATCCCTATTCTTAAGCCGCTTTCCAGGATTTATTTTCCAAAGTTTAAGGCTTTAATTTAAAAAGACAATATTACATGATGTTGTCAATTTCTTTCATACTTCAAGAAAGGATGATACTTTATTAAAGTTGAAGAACAACTGGGCACGGTGACTCACGCCTGTAATCCCAGCTCTTTGGGAGGCCGAGGCAGGCGGATCACTAGGTCAGGAGTTCTAGACCAGCCTGGCCAATATGGTGAAACCCCATCTCTACTAATAATACAAAAATTAGCTGGGCCTGTAATCCCAGCTACTCCAGAGGCCGAGGCAGAAGAATCTCTTGAACAGGGGAGGCGGAGCCGAGATCATGCCACTGCACTCCACTCCAGCCTGGGTGACAGAGGAAGACTCCATGTCAATAACAACAAAAAAAATGTTGAAGAGCATTGCATTACTTATTTTGAAACAACAGCAATTTACAATTCACTTCAATAAAATTTAACCTCCTCATAAAATGTCAACGGATATCTATTTCTTCAATATTGTTCATGTCAATAGAGTCTTTAAATGTTTAAAATGTCAATAACTATTAAATATAAACTCTACTTCTGAAATAGAAATTTGATTATCATGAAGTAAAAATGTAAGTAATCATTATGTGTGTTGACATGTAAATTAATGTTCAAGTTTAGTGTTTTAAAACTGTTACAAAAGAACAAATTGCTTTGTTTTAAACAATTTTAATGAAGACATAGTTGAAAACAAAAACTTCTCAATTGCAATAATTTATATTTTAATTTTGAAATAATCTTTAAAAGTCTAACAGTCACAGAAAGGGTTAAATTCATTTTTCACCATTTTATATTATGTATAAACAAAAGCAAATTTGTACTCCTTAGGTGTTAGGCTGACATTTCCACTTCTTACTCTCTGTTTGGATTAGACGCATTCTTTTAAGTTACTTCAAGTATTTTTGGAACAAAGCAAAACACAAAATCAACAAATGCATTATATTTGTTGACATTTCTTTTTCTAGCATATCTGAGTATCTGTGTGATCTCCAGGACTGATGATAAAAATCAAACACTGCACAGTACTATTTACTATAGTCTTTCATGTAAGTGAGTTGTAAGAAGGTGAAATTATACTTTCTTTTATATTCAAATAGAAACAGTAAGATATTGAGTTATTGCCATAAGCAATCTTACAGATATGTTCCAGAAATAACCAAAAGATCATTAGAAGATGTAACAAGCTTTCTGCCACTTGTATTTTATTTTTCCTTGTGATAATAGGAGCTTTACAAACCCTTTAAGTTCTTACCAAGGCATCTTCAGCTCAGGCATGACTGAACAAAATACCAAAAGAAAAGGCCAACTCTTCCTCTAGTTCATCTCTCCCATATACCCACTCCCACTCTACCCCGCCCTACCACCATCCCCAGAAGTAATTGTGACTATAACCTTTCACTTACTCAATCTACCACCCCATTCTCAATGCATTCCTAGGATTCTG